GATATTGTACAAAAAGGTAGAAGATGATGAATTTTTTTACTTATAAAGACATTGATTATGTTGGAGATCTGGATGATAGGAAAAATACTTTAGATTATGTTTTTGTATTAAGTTCTATTGTTTCTTGATCTTTTAAGAAACAATAATAGTCATTGTGTCTACTATTAAAACTGAGTTTGTAGTTGTCGTATCTTGTGCCTGTCAAGTCATTTGGATAAGGAGAATCTTAATTGATTTTAATCATATTCATAACAGTGATAACAATTTTCTTGCGATATTAGTTCAACTATTAAACTCTCAAATAATCTTGTCTTTTATCCTCTTAGCAAACATATAAATGTCAAATTTTATTTTATTTAAAAACTCATAAAGGATAAAATTGTAAAATTGATTTAGTGTTATATTCAATAACAAATTATAGATATAATGACGAAATCATTAAAACTTGATCAATTTGTGAAACTTCTAAAATCTATTAAAAAATTATTCTAAATCAGATGTAAACTAAATACATAGTTTTCAGATTAAGAAAGGATGTTAAAGTTTGTAAAGTCTTTATTTTGAGTTTTATTGTAAATTTAAATTAGATTTTAAATCNTGAGTGTAATATATATATATATATATATATATATATATATATATATATATAATATCTTTCTTATATTTTTATTTTGTAATTTTATTTTTTATGTTGTAATTTATCTTTGTGTAAAAGGTTGGGGTGATTGTGTAAAACATTATCTATTTTTTTTTTTGTAAGGTTATGTAATTATGTGAAACTTAATGTTTTACTTATATCTTGGTTTTAGGATTATGTAGAGGTACTTGTAATTTGAAACTTAATGGAATTTCTAGCTAAGGTTGTTAGAAAAAGTGATATAAATTTGTTATAATCGAATCAATATAAATATCTTCCTTGTTTTTCTTTGTGATTTTTTGGATCTTAATAATGCATCTCATACAAATCTTCTTAATTGATTAAAACAAAGTTTTCAAAATTGCTTTAAAACTTCAATAGAAATTAGTTTTGGAAAAAGAATCAATTCACCCCTTTTTGGTTGAGAATATTAGTTGTACATATTTTAACAATTGACATTAGAGCTAGTTATTCAAAAATTAATCGATTAAAAGATCTTGTTATGACTAATATCTCTCAATCATTTGTTGAAAGGGCATCCATAGATAGACCACACTTATTTGCTGAAGAAAGTTATTCATTTTGAAAAATTAGAATAAAAACCTTTCTTGAATCAATTGATAAAGGTGTGTGGGATGCTGTGATAAATAGACCATATATTCTTATGCATATAATTGACAATGTGCATGTTGAAAAAGACTTCAACTTTTGGACTAAGGATGAAAGCAAGAAAGGGTAGTATAATGCTAGAGCTAGATACATAATCTCATCAACACTCACCATAGAGGAATTCTACCAAGTTTATACATGTAGGAATGCAAAAGAAATATGTTAAATATTGGTGAAAGCTCATGAAAGCATTGAAGAATCTGATCATAACAAATCAGAAAGTAGCAACAACAATATAAATATCAACACATGGTTCATGGTTGATATTAAGTCCCAAGAAAGCAAGATAAGTACTTTTAACTATAGCATACGAGAACAATATGATGAGTTTTTTCTATGCATTGAATAATTATAAGAAGAAGGAGGAGGAGATAGAAGATAAAAGGTAGTTTTGAAGACTTCTACAAAAACTGTTGTGGGACATTCATGATCAAAGCTAAATCTATGAATGATGAAGATGATGAGAATTCTAACAGAGAAGCATTAAATCTAATGGTAAAACGATTCTTAAAATTTCTTAAACATAAAAATAAGTCTAACAACAAATTTGTAGGAAATAGAAGATCACTTAAAAATTCTTGAAATTAACGACGAAATTTTATGGACAAAATAAATTCGTGAGTAAATTTGAACAACTAACTAATTGTATATAATGTCCCAATTTTCAGGGTGTCACAAGTTATTCAAAAACCGTAATTTTCAACTTTCTATCATAGCGTAGAAAAGTATTTTTTTCAAAACCATAACATTTAAACATGCATAATTTATTTGAAGTATATGAGTTCTAAAAGACTTGTCCAATTACATTATTCAAATAATAGAAATAACGAATGAATTAAAATAACTACAACGACTTTGTCTTAAATTTAAAAAAATAGCTTTCATTAGAAATTCCAGTCTGTTACTCGTTATCTCTCGAATCTATCGTGCCTTAGCATAATTTACAACATCATCTACCCACGTATAACACATTATACGATCATCACCGATAATTTCATTCACAACACAAAAACACAAACACGTATGAATAAACTACTGATAAAACAATTATAATAATAATAGGAAATAAGACACAAAATATATCAACTATAAACAACCAACACATACCCAATAGTAACAACAATAAGATTCTCAATCCTCTAGTATAACAACTTAATCATAATGAATTACTCAATTCTCAATCCACGATCCTCGATCTTCAATTCTCAATCCTTAATTCATTGACCCTTGATGTCATCACTAACATTTCATGCATAGACCCTTGTCTATCCACACATTAACACCTATGCTAACTACTTACTATAACCAATATAATAACATCATATCAACATAACATCACCTAGAGCATCTCTAATACCATGATCATCATCATAAATACACCGCCATTACCATAACATCACCGTACCATGAACACCATAGTGGAAAGAGTTAGTCTCACTCGTATACCCTACCTCACCCCCTGTAGCTGCTCCTACAGATCAATCTGTAGCCTCCCTTATAGATATGATTGAGTAGTCCCGCAATCCAGTTGAGAAACAACACACAAGGACAAAGAAAACACCATCACCTCCACATAAGAAGGGTTCAATACCCGAACAACCCTTTCTATGCACACAAGGCAAAAGGAAGCATTATTTGTAGATAAAATCAAGATTTACTAGGTACAACAAGTAGACCTATCCTCCACTTTAATGCTCATCAATCCCATACTCAGGTACACCCAAACACCCACTCATGCTCCAACCTCAACCACAAGTCAAACCTGACCCTAAACATAACCACTAATCTCATTCACTAATTTTCATCACGTTCTACAGGTCCTCAAGCTTGGTCCACATCCATTCTTCATCAAAACACACTTTTCTAGTAAAAATACACATATGTTGCATTTTACTCTATTATCATATTATATAATGACATGCATTGCATGACTATCACATTTTATGTTTCTTTCCTTATTACTCATATGTAAAAACATCACTCTTCAGTGGCCTCTTTATCACTATAAGGGTTTCATGTTAGGGGAGTAAAAGTAACCTTAGATTTTGAATGTTTTAGTTGGATTGCTTGGATATATACTAGACCATGTTTGGTTATATATTGCATTATGATTAATTACATTTTACATTCATTTCTCTCTATTTTTATCCTTTATTTTTTTATCATGTCCAAAGGGGAAAAATGTTTTGTTATTGTATGCAGGTTTTTTTATCGTGTAGAGGTTCGACCTTTTCCTTAATGCTTTTGATGGAGGATCCCTGCTGGCCAATAAGTGCTATGTCCATACTACCAGTGGAGGGATCCTTTGTCAAGGACGAGGAGGGGACTTCCCTTTCTTCAGGCTGATTAGTTTTTCAATGCTTGGAGGTTTGCCTGATGTTGAGTGTGCTAGGCTTTGAGTTCGAAATCATAGTGTTTACACTACTCCTTATTTTGTTAAATTAATGTCTGCATTTGATTTTGAAGGACTGACATTGGGATGAACTCCATTTCGTAAGATATTTGGGTTTGACTACGTTTGGTGACCATAGAACACTAAGCTGAAACAAAGTTTTACTGAGACTCTACAATAGATGCCAAATATTTTTATCGAGATTTTGAGATATACTTTTGGACAAGTAATACAATTTGAGTGAATTATAAAGTTCTTATGTCACTAAGAGACTTTGGATTTTTTAATAACAAAAACTGAATTTAAGTGAATGTGCATGTTTTTATAAGACTTATAAATCTTATATAAAATTAATAAAAAGTATTAAATAATATAAAAAATATAACAAATTACCATATGGTAATTAGTTAAATAATAATAATAATATATTAAATATATCAAATATTTTTTAAATATATAATTAAATAATATTATTACATAATCAAGACAATATATTTTTAAGATATAAATATATCTTAAAATATCTTTAATCATTTAAATTAGTAAAATTAAATAAAACTTATTAAACCATATCACTTACCATATTTATTAGATTTGCTATGTACAATTTTTAATATTTTGTTGTTATCTTATTTTTTAAAAGAAATGAGTGCAGATTTTTTAATATTAAAGTGGCATGAGGAGATTATTTCATTTACAGGTCCCATCACAGCATGTTCTTATTAGTGTTACATGTAGTTTTTATAAATAAGTTTTACAAAACATCATCAGATATATCCAGAACACGGAAAAGGAAGAAAAGAAAAACCCAGTAAATAGATCATAGAAAAGTTGTATATTTCTCAAGAGTTCAGAGTGAGGTAGAATAAGATGGAAATGAATAATTGCTCATCCAAATTTATATTACATTTTACTTACTACGTAAAGAATTTATTGTTGACATATATAGTTTTAAAATATCAATTAAAAATAATATTATCATAAAGAGGTGATGAAATAAAAAAAATTGTCTATTATTAATGGATGTTCATAAAATTTGTGTGTTTGAAAGGCTAAAAGGAGTTATTAAAATTGAAATTTTATTTGGTTATGATTTATTTGAAGAATAAGGTGAGATTTTGAATAATAAAAAACGTAAAACGTGGCGTGAGAGTACAGAGAGTTAGGATAGAACAGAGGGAGAGCTGGTCCTAGCACAGAAAGAACAGCTCAAGGGACTATTTTCCATTGCCAATTTTATGATTAGAAAAAAAAAATGAATAAAATAAAAAAACAAATAAAAAATGTGGCGTCTTAAAAGGTATAATTGTGTTCTGGGGCCGTGAAAGATTTCTATGGTGGAAATTGTGATCCGAAAGGCTAAGCTGAGTAAGCTGGAAAGAAAGAAAAAAAAGCCAAGCTGTGAGTGTGGCAGAGAGTGAGTGTGTGCGTCTATATCTCTCTTTCTCTCTCCCCTGTGTACTGCTCCGTCCGTGCTGCTGCAACGTGCTTAACCCGGTTTCTTTCGAATTCCAATATTGTTATTATTATTGTTATAAAAGAAAAGGAACATTGGTTGAAGAGAATCAGGAGAGGGAAGAAACAGAAGCAGAGGAAGGGAAGAAGAGGAAACAGTGCGCACCTTAGCATGGATTCCTCTCCGTCGTCTTCTCTCTCCTCGCTCGCTTCGACCCTACGGCATCATCCACTCTCCAATTGAGAAAGGCACCGATTCCCATTCCCATTCCCACTCTGTCCAACATAAACCCAACCCTAACTGTCATCTTTTCCCTTCCCTCATCCAAGGACATGTTGTGGCTTATGAGATTCTCGGGCTTTTTCTCCGCCGCAATGCTCCTCGTTCTCCTCTCCCCCTCCCTCCAATCCTTCCACCCCGCCGAAGCCATCCGCTCCTCCCACCTCGACGACGTCCTCCGCCTCCCGCTCCAGAACTCGCCACTCTCCTTCCGCCGGTCCGCCCCATTCCGCAATGCCGACAAATGCGTCTCCAATCGGACCTCCATTGCCGAGAATACCAGCGTCTGCGATCCCTCCCTAGTCCACGTTGCCATCACTCTCGACGTCGAATACCTCCGCGGCTCCATCGCCGCCGTCCACTCCATCCTCCAACACTCTCAGTGCCCGGAGAACATCTTCTTTCACTTCCTCGTATCCGAGACCAGTCTACAGTCCCTTGTCAAATCGACCTTCCCGCAATTGAACTTCAAGGTCTATTACTTCGATCCGGAGATCGTGCGCAACCTGATCTCAACCTCGGTGCGCCAAGCCCTGGAGCAACCTCTCAACTACGCCAGAAATTACCTCGCGGATCTTCTCGAGAACTGCGTGGAGAGGGTTATATATCTAGATTCGGATCTAGTTGTGGTGGATGACATTGCGAAACTGTGGAGTACCAGTTTAGGTTCGAGAACAATCGGCGCGCCCGAGTACTGTCACGCGAACTTCACCAAGTACTTTACAGCGGGGTTTTGGTCGGACGCTCGGTTCGCGGACGTGTTCATGGGGAGGAGACCGTGCTACTTCAACACGGGTGTGATGGTGATAGATCTGGTGCGGTGGCGGAAGCACGGTTACAGTAGAAGGATAGAGAAGTGGATGGAGATCCAGAAGAGCGACCGGATCTATGAACTGGGTTCTCTGCCGCCGTTTCTGCTGGTGTTCGCGGGACACGTGTGGCCCATTGAGCACAGGTGGAATCAGCACGGGTTGGGTGGTGATAACGTGAAGGGGAGTTGCCGGGACCTTCACGCTGGGCCTGTGAGTCTGTTGCATTGGTCCGGAAGTGGTAAGCCCTGGCTCCGATTGGACTCCAGACGGCCATGTCCACTTGACGCACTTTGGGCTCCTTATGATTTGTACGGACACTCACAGTGATTAAGGCAGGGTAGTCGCCGGTAAATTCCCTCCACTGTTTTGTCACTTCTCTTCATTTAATTTAATTCTCATTTCGGTCTATTTTTTCTATTATTATTTTGTTCCCTCTTCTCTACTCTGCTCCTCTCCTCTCCTCTCCTCACTGTGAACCAACAGATCAGATATTTTACTTCACCCATTTTTATTAGACTTCGTTTCTCAGGCCATTTGTATTCTACGTACACTATCTTCTATTCTGTGGGTTGTGCTCTGAAAATAAATAAGATAAAATAAAGAAACGGGTGGTTCTTTTATTTCTTCTTGTGCCTTCTTGAAGTTTAGCTTACATTACTTTTCAGCAATGTTGGGATGAGACTGTCCCGTGCCCAGTTGAACTGGGAATTGAAGTGGAGAGCACTAATTGTGCTTTTTTTTAATGCCTTCATTTAAATCACTGCAACAGTCGTTACGTACTATTAATTTTGATTCATTTGTTTGATGGCTGGTGTGGTGTTGTTTATCTGTCTGGTTCACGTTTGATTATTTTTGGGAATTCGCTCGTAATTCATGAGTCACTGATTGTGTTCACCAGCTAACCGGTACAAGCCGAACTACGGATTTAGTACCTGAGCGAGTGAGGTTGGTGGGTAGCGGTAGCCCATGTGCAAATATTGCGTTTGTCTTTTTAAATATTTTCAAATACCATGTGTGTTTGTACTGGTAAATTGGTGCCGCAATTCTGCTGGCTAGTGGGAGCAAAGATAAGAGAAGTTGAACTGTTGTGTTATGGCTTGTTTTAGTTACTTGTAGTTAATGACATAGTTTGAGATAGGGGGAGGGGTATCTTTGGCGGCAGCAGTAGCCAAATGAGAGATGAAAACTATCCAATGAGTTTGTGGATTGCGTTGGCAACTAAGCTTAAAGCTGAGCTCGCGGAATCTCTGAGGGAACACTTGGTACGGTTGGTCTCTCACTTTGTCCTTTTAGCCACACGGTTGATTTCCACTTCTTTCTGTTATCCTCTCTCTTCTTATTAACTATATGTAATTTTATTCGAAAGATAAACTCGTTGAAAGAGTTAGTATTACGAGAGCATAGGTAAGATATTAGTAGGTTGAACAAATCATGGTTCATTGTAAGTGTCTGCATAATGAGAGGGTGAAGGACGCAGTCACTCACTTGGGGTCTTCCTTTTAGTTCTGGGCTCCATGTGGTAGTTACGTATTTTTTTAATTCTATTCTTGTTTCCTCAAATATTATTCGAGAACAGAATAGAAGACGCCATTTGATCGGTTAGAATGGAGTCTATCAATTGATTGTTTTGTCACAAATATATAATTTGAAGTAGGTTGGGAATAATCCTATCCAAATTATGCGTATGCGAGCAACGACTTTGGCTTTTAGCATTGCTAGTCTAGCTGGGGCTATACTAAACTTGGATTGTGAATTAAAATTTTGAAAAAAGTTCTGTTGTCGGGTTTAAGTTAATATACTTGGATTAGGACGTAGCAACAGAATGCTTGGGCCTATGATATATTGTATGGGCAAATGCTGGAGAATCAAAATTTATTCACTGACACGTTTATGCCAATTATTACAATAAATAAACAATTTAATTAGTATTTGTTTGGAGGGTTCTAGAAATATGAAGAGTAGGACAGAGATGAGGCGATGCCAAAGACAGGCATTGCCTCAATTGATTATTGAGCTATATACGGTGTTGTACTGAATACTTTGAATTCAAAATTTTATTATTATTTTTTTTTTTGCCTCTTAGCCCTTGCAATGGTTTGATATGCATGAAACGAACTAAATGAATATTGTTTAAAAGAAGTGGATGTGGGTAAAAGTAGTTAATTCATGCGGTTGGAATTGGAATCGGGTTCTTTTTTCAATATCAATAAGCAAGGTGATGGTCACAATGTGTGCAAAACTGCAAAATGGCAAGATTTCTGACGGCTCTTTCTGGATGCGAGAAGTTGGACGAGGTTGAACTATAGACAATTTTAATCCGTTGGTCCCCATCTCCTCGTGGTGTCGTTGTTCTTGGTATTAGTTTTCTATCTTCGTTCAGAACTCATATCGTAGGATGTTATTTAAAATGGTAAATTAACTATGATATAAAATTAAAAAAAAAAACTCAATTTGGTGTCAAAGAAGGTTCTCCAATCATTACGAGTCCAGAATAAAATTAACAAATAATCCTTCCTTTTTTCAAATAATTAGGTAAGCTGTCGATGATTGAACCTTGCTTTTGATGTGGTCACGCTTACACAAAATCTTATTTTCTGATATCTCTTAGAGCTTCATACACTTTTTAAAATACAACATCACTCCAAATATTATATTTTTATTATCATAAATCTCTTAGTTATAATTAATTACTTCTTAGAATTAGATCTTCTCGGTTGGAGATTGAGAATCCTTATTTTCATTTTTATTATTTAATTGGTTAATTCTTTTTAATATTAAGATGTGATCATTTTTAAAACATTCGGATAATGGTTAAGATATAATTATTGGTGGTCAATAAATATTGAATATAATCAAACTTAATACCCAATAAAAAATGAGACAATTAATGTGGGGCTTATGATAACTAATAGTTAGAATTCAATTATAGATAGGAATGAGACTATAATGGCTAATTATACTCGGATAAGTACTAATAAATCATTATTGGAATCCATCAACAAGCATGTCTTTCATCAAGGATGGGTCACCATCTTCATCGGGCATTTCTCTTTTTTATCTACGGTTAATAGTCGACCTCAAGAATCTATTATCATAGTATAAACCAAAAGTCTGAAAGATGTTTAATAATAGAATATTATACAAGGGTTATGAGGAGGTCATCCAAGATCGAGATGATTATTCTTCCAAACTTCGTTATACAATTAAGGTTTAATCATTCACGAAATCCCTATTTTTGCGTGGAATCTCAATTTAGTCCCTTTGTTTCTGGAAATCTCAATCGGGTCCCAAATTTATGAAAATTGCAACAATTGGATCCTTTCCGTTAAATTGTCTCCAACGTCGTTAGTGTGTGTTTGACGTGGCACGCTGTAGTCAGTTTCTTAACTGACGTGGCTGACGGGGCAGTGAAACACATGGATAATAATATTTTTTAAGTAAAAAGAAAATGAAAGTTTTAAACCAAAATTGGGATTCAGATTTTTATTTGATCGAATTAGGGATTGGGATTCTTTTGAGTACTTCTAGGGTTCGTCCAAAGTTCATTCCATTTCACAAATTGGGGTATCATTTTGGGTATTTAGGGTTTAATCGAAGTTGTGGTTGACAGAGTGTGCAGTTGCCGTCGTCATCGGAGTTGTGAGACCTTCTTCAGTTGCAATCTGGAGTGGCCAGGTCAGTAAAAGTTTGGTTTTGTTACAAACCTTTATATTGCGATGTTGGGTGGTGGTCCCCGTCGTTGTATTGTGTTTTATTTTTGATTTCAATGTTGTGGTCCCCGTTGTCGGATTGTGTTCCATTTTTTATTGCAATGTTGTGGTCCCCCCATGCCCCCCATGTTTAAAGTGATAATTGTCTGTGTGTGTGTGTGAGTGCGTTTTGTTTATGGTTTTAATATATGTTTTGTCGTCATGTGATTACATTATAGGTGTATAAATACTTATATATAGTGTTTTGCATCATGGATGAGGATATTGAGGTTGTCTTTCACCATGGAGGGAAATTAGTTAATGATGGGAAGCTTAAGTATGAAGGGAGGGAGACATCTAGGTTTATGTTTGACCCAGATGTTTGGAGTTATTTCGTGGTTGTTAGTGTAGTGAAATCTTTGGGATATCATGGGTTTAAAGATATGTGGTACTCTGTAGGAGGGGCTTTAGTGTTGGATGATAAGTTAGAGTCTTTGTGTAATGACACTGCTGCCATGCATATGGTAAATTTATCTAGGCTGAATGGTGAGGTGCATGTGTTTGTGATACACCCTGTTTCTGAACCCGAAGTCATACATATGTTGGAATATGTTGGTAATGATGAAGGACAAGTTAAAGAGAGGGGTGATGTTGAT